TACCGAGTACAGCGAAAACCTTCCAGGAAAGCCGCTAATACGATCATGCAAATTCATTTTTTACCCATAAACACATATGAAAAGCTTTCGTGCCACCCAAAGTATGGTTCATTAAGTTACCCGATACTGTTTTCTGTTTGTTTTATCGTGGCTTATCCTTTTTGTCCCGTTTGCTTAGTTGAATGGCGTATAAATCGTTTTAAAGTTAGTCCTCTATCTCTTCACACCTGTTTTTTGCAGTGTTAGAAGAGCTAAAAAGGGAGAGGAAACATTATCCGATATCGACCAGCCGGTTTGGACATTTCTTCCGAAGCAGAACACCAATGCATTCCCGACGCATATTGTAATCAAACGTACCAAAACGACCATTCGACATTCCCATAAAGTGGAAGTGGCAAGTCTTGACTAAAATATACGTCTTGGGACGGATACAACCACCGATCTCTTGTGTGCAGAAAGGGTATTCTGTTGATTTGACTATCAAAGTCGCTGACTCCCCTCTACGCTGATGAGCTTCAACTTTACGGCTGATTAGCTACGGCTCTGCCCGCTCGGAAGCTGCCACCTGATGTCTGTTGCTGCTAATAGTGGGCCACTTGCGTGGTTTTCGCAGACGTTGGTATAGTCCAGGTGCCCAGGTTTTGTGTAAACTGACATAAATTGAAGAGGGCCTTGCCAGGTCTCGGAACAAGAAGTTCAGTCACATGCAAAATGAACAAAAAGACACCACTGGAGAGGCTGGTTCCTTTAGTTATTAGATCTATTAGGGTTCGGGAGACACCCAGAAGTACTATGAGATTCTAATCAAATGTCAGCAGATGTCGTGGGACTTCAAAACGTTTCTAACACCTCTCAGATCGTCCGTTTATTTGGCGTTTTCGCGAGCCTGTCACCACCACGGACAACTCATGTTTTCCAATAAGGAATTTAAATAGTCTATTTTGAGCAAACGTACACCACTGTGTGCGGACACGAGTCACAAACTGCCTACATACTAGACGAGTTTTGCTGTGAGTTGGTTATTGATCATGTTGCACCACGTCATACTTTTACGCTCGAATCGTACATATGCTTCAGAGCGTTACAAGTGACTTGCATGACTATCCTCTGCAACTATTATCGTCCACACACAAAGATTTTCAGTATAAATGATGAGATTGTGGAGGATTGCGCAACAAATTTATTGAGTGGGAGAGTGGGACGTTTCGACCACCAAGCGCGGTCTCCACCAAGGTACAGGTATTCACGTACAATGATGGATCAACTCATATCCGAAGAAGCATGTCGCGTGGTGGCGGTTTCCTATGCGGACCGCAAATTCCGGGATCGAAGTTAATTGGCTTATTTGTGGCAGCCAATCCTGGTTTGTACTTTTGTGCACTTGTCCTGTGAATCACGCTATCTGTCACCAGAAACTGTGACATTCCAAACTACCTAACAGCAACGGGTTAGTTTGGGCTGTTTGCTACATCTCGTCTTCTAGTGGCAATAACTATTCTCGCAGCTAAGACATCAGCCATTTGAGTCACGCCTTGTCCTCCGTTGCTGTTAGATCACCGTTTCTTATATTCCATTCAAACCATCCCATTGGTTTAGTTGGTATCTGATATCGACCTCATTTGAAACCAAGCTGCACCACATACGATTTCATATTATTTCAAAGGTTCAGTAAAACTCTGTAGCGAAAGTGCAGACTGACTCAACCTAATACGACTCTGCCGCGAGAACACTGAAACGTTGCTGTGTTTTGTTGTCCTTTTTTGGGGCGAGATGGCCCATGTTGTTAGAGCGCGAATTTATTGACCGGTAGGTCCGTGGTTCGAACCCGACTTCTGCCTCTCGACTTCCCCTGTCTAGGCTTGGGCAACCTGGCAGTATCCCAACCCTCGTGCTTCCTTCGGGTATCATTTTAGCTAGGCACCGGAAGGTGTTACAGCTGAGAGATTTATTTTTTATTTATGTTATACTTTAAATGCGAATCTGACGTCGTCGGTGACCTTGACTGCAATAACACGGCTAGGGGCATGGAAGTAACAGAGGGTGGATGAGTATATGATGGATTCATCAAAAACCAATGACGACGCGAACACATCAGGCAGATGTGCTGTGGAAGGTAAAGACTGCCGTAGCAATGGACTCGTTTCGGAAGAAACGGTTCTACATTGCAACATATTCTGAAATCCCAGCAGAACATCGTTGATGAATGAGGTGAGAATCAAGTCTAAAGTGAAGACCTTATGTAGCCAGTATCTTCCGTGTTCGATGAGTGAGAATGGTTCAACGGTAACAGTTTAATGGACTGTTTCCCGTGTTTGGTGCTAAGTGATTCCTTTGGCTGTACCATAGCCACACAAATTTCTGAGTCAGTTATTGGCATTTTTATGATGCAAGAGGTTTTGTCTCGGGAAAAGCAGTGCCTTTAGACCGAAACTGTAGTAAAAAAGGGGCCTACAGAACTTTGCCAGAAGGAAAGTCGTTCAAAGTATAAGGGTACCGATCCACTTATGTCAGACTGTTTGAAAGATGTGCAAAAATGTTCGTCAACTTGACTAGGCATCAGAAGTAGATGCACTACTCATGATATTGGAGAAAACTAAACCGACAACAGGGTTTCATGTCTGAAAAAAGCTTTTCATGATCTTCATCGACTCGTCATTAGTTCTCAAGCAATAAAATCAGTGTGAACAGTCAAAAATAGACAGGACAGAAACGGATTTTCTGTAGATTAGGAAGATATTTCTAGACCGATCAGAGTAAACACAATGGAACTTGGGGAGCGGTCTGTAGCAATTTTCGGGCAGTGGACTACCTATCTTCGGTTGCGGTCTATCTCACGACTTCGTATTTTACTCCCAGAAATATTTCTGTAATTTAAAGTCAGAAAACACACAGAATTATAAAAGATCGTCTCCGCCCGCTCGTCGCCGAACAAGTACAGCAATAAATTAGAGAATTAGGTTAAAGTAATATACAACATCGCCCTAACATTGGTATGAGACAGCGGTACTGCTTACTTAGTGGTGGGAAATCTTGACCGCTGTGACAGTTTCAAAGTTCTCACTTGCAACTTGTTGGCAAAATTAGGATGCCATTACTTGAACAACAATCACTGCCTTGGCGAATAACTTTCAATTTTTCGGCAGTCGATCGATCAGTCAAATGACTGACAGTAGCATTTGTCACGTGTCTGGCTGATCCAGATTTTCCGTGATGGGATGGATGTCCTTTGATTTTCCGGGGTAAGCACCGTGTCACTTGATTAAGATAATTTACGGAACATTCACAAGCAAAAGAATACGTAAACAAAATTACTTTCACACTGATGTGCGGTAAAATATCGGCTGCTAACAAAGGCTGACAAAATGAATATTTCTCCCATTTATATTGACAAAAAATACTAAGTTACACGGCGCAGTTAAGGCTGATCGTAAAGTGATTTTCAAATCTTTGTAGTTGGACGTAATGCGTTAGTGTAACAAGCGAGTAACCTTTCATGCACTCAAAGTTTAGTCATTTCCGCGGCAAACAGGAAGATTTTGTTCAGTCCAGAAAGTACACACATAAGGTTTCAGCCCGCAGTTTTTTCTCAAATCAAAGCTATCGAAGTGGTTGTCGGTTCTATTTACCGCGTATGCGATCGGCAATACGGTATGTGGTTTTGGTACCCATCGAAATCGGAATAAAGGCACCACTAAATATATGTGGAGTTAGAGTTAGGTAGTGATTCATTAATCAGACTAAGGGAAACATATCCGTAGCTTGGTTGTGCTAGGGGCATCCTTAATTGTCAACCCTCGTACAACTGGTATAACATTCAAGCCCAGCTTACATTCAGGTTAGTCAAAGCTTTGTTTTGTCGGTTGGGGTAGCAAGGTCACATGGCGCAGTGCATTTTCCCGTGCATCTGGCAGATTTCAGTCCACACAGTTTTGTACTTTATCTGCACAGAACCACGTGACACCCAGAACCAACAGATGGTCCGTAGTCTAATCCAAACCTGTCCTTAATACACGCTAGCGAGGTCACAAGTTCTTCGATGATGCGACTGCACTATAAACCCTACACGGATTCGGCTATTTTTCTGTGAAAGTAGTCACCTTGACCGAAAAATCTAGCGTTAGCGTGACCCATATTGGTTGTGGTAGCCGCTAAGCTGTAACAGTCATGCCTCCCGAGGACAGTACAAGGGATGAGGCACTACAAAGCTATCCAAGCCTAGATAGGAGCAGTCGAAATAGCGAAGATGCGTTCGAACCATGGGACTTTCCGATCAGTAAGTTCAAGCTTCAACCTCCGCCTTCTTCAGTTCTTTTGGTCGTGGAGCAATCGTCTTGCTTGGAGATTGTTCTATAAACGTTCCAACATTACTCAAGGAGAAAGCGTCAGTGTGCCATTAATTAGGAAGCTCAGCGTTTAGGTCCGCGACGATTATAAATGCCAGCACTACACACTACCACGTTCCGTGGGCTCCGAAACCGAAGCAGTTTTACGACGCACATGTTTATTACTCTCCCGACATTTGACTCCACTTGGTTTTACTGCCCACCGTCCGGTAAGTTGAACCACATTGGGACCATTTCTGGAACACATGTTTTCCGAATACTCACTTTATTCACTTTAGAACCAGGGGTATGTTGTGTAAATAAACATCAAACAAAAATGTCGGCTGTTCACAACTAAGATGTGGTGAGATCAGTATGTTTCACACGACCTGCACAACCGTCGAAACCGTCGAGTAATTCTATCACGCGTGGCCTTGTTCGCTTGTTGAGGCACAAGTCAGATTCACCGAGCGTCCGCCTCCAGGGTGGTAGTAGCACGTTCGGCTAACCTATCAAATTTCTGGAGTTCAATTTCCACTGAGGTCAGGGCGAGTTAATACTAGTGAGCTCCATATTGTTGCGGAAGAATCGTGCTGAAATCGGAAGACTGTTTGAACAAATCTTGAAAAATTGCATGGAACTTGCGGAATTGGTTACCGAGGACAGTACCTTCATTGCTTTTTTATATTTCGTCCAGTTCTCTCAAGCGGAATTTCTCTGATGTTCACCCTACGATTTGGGCTGTACACTCTAAACAAATTTTGCAAATCACTCAATAGGCTCGGATAAAATCATCTGTATTCCAGTGTGTTCTCAACCCGGTTTCTAGAGAAATCCCAAGCTCTCCCTAATAAAAAGGCAATGGTGTACTCAAGAACAATCCCAAAAATGTAACAAAAACCTTAAAAAAAGTCATCTTGAAAACAGTTCAAAAAGTAAAAGTACTCGTGTATCAACATTTTTGTCGATTCAGGTGGCATTTCCACTGCCACATTTTCAACATAAGCTTCGCTCGTCTATCAATCGACAACATTCCATGCTGATTCTGAACACGATAGCAAACAATAGGTGGACCTAAAACCTGATTCGATCGTCGCTTACTTATACCTCGGTCCCACCAGCACTCACTACTTCTTTCTTCATACTCAGTAGATGGAGCATGTCTATTCTATTGCAGGTAAGCATAAAATGCCTCAGTGCATGGGTCAGAGTACCTGAAAGCCGGGAAGCGAGCTTGGTGATGTCCAATGCAACGCACACGTTAGCTTAACATCCATTGAGTAGAAATAAGTCTTTTTATCATCTTTTTTGAAGCCTTTGTTGGGTTGATGCAACCTATTCTTGAACAGCTTGGATACTCTGCATCGTGTCCCTTAACTTGTGCCGTTTAACATTGTCATGGCCCTTAAAATAAGTGGACTCTCTGTACTTTTGGGGTGGATACTCAGAAACTTGTCCTTTAACGAGAGAGAGAGAGTGGAGCCACGCTTTGTGAAACAAAACAGTGGATCGAGTTTCAAATGTAGAAAACGTTATGAAGATTCGATGGGAAATCTCCTGTTGAACAACTTCGTATCAGAGACATCTGGCTTGAATGAATCGCATTGCATTTCTTAACCCAGATGTCTTTGAAGGCTTCTCTGATATCGCTAACCTGGATAACCAAAGAACTGTGCATGCAGATACTAGTTGGGATGACTTCCCTGCCAATTCGCAGTAGGTACCGGCAATGAACGCCAAAGGTGTAAATAGTGTTTTTGGGATACAAGTTACTAGAATTGGCCGAACCGACTTTATTCAAGAACAAGGTCAAAATATTATCGACCTGCAGGTTCCAGCATCACAGGTGTGTGATTATCGTGACTGTCCAGTAAAAGATAGATAGATAACACGGCGAAGACAGAGGCAACGACGAAAGCCGTGTTATTCCGGAACGACAGTTACACGCTTTGTGGTATGAAATGGGAGAAACTGATGAGGCGGTAATCTGTTCAGGTGTCCAGGCGATTCATACACTGGCTCCTTAAACAGTCATCGATTCTTGTGGGAAGATAGCCCAAGATTAGGGAAATTTCATAGTAAAACCGCAGTCCTCCGTTTATAGAATGAAAACAAGCGTGCAGACTAACATTTTGAATCACTTGAAGCGAATAAGTTTTCTATTGACCTTGTTTGTCGAAGGGTGGTATCATAAGAGTTTTTGAAGCCACCGCAAGTGCAGTATCGCATGTCCTGTTTAGTTTTACTAGCAGAGGAACAAAGGATACAAACACTATAAACTGCAGATTCAGCTGCATTCACTTGAGTCTCCCATCAACACCAACTCACTACGCAGATGAGACCATGTGGTGGATACAACCGATGCTTTTGTTCACAGAGGATGCCACTGATGGATTTATCAAGTCAACTTTTAAAGGCTCTCAGCTCAAATACTCGTCTAGATCGGTTGGTTGGTTGGTTGGTAAGCTATAATTCACAAATCGAGCGAAAAGAACTCAGCTGATGACAGTTTGATGGCTTCTAAAACTTTGCTAACAGAGAAACCAAGGAACTACTCAGGAATTTTTGCATTAACTTATCATTAGTGTCAACTAACTACACCAGTCTTGTGCGATGCATCCTGCAGACTGTAGTTGAACAAACCCGACCACAACTGACGTAACTGATTAAATTTGGTCAAAGACCAGCTTCTTTACAGGCTACGCTGGTGTTATTGCGAGATTAAAATGATTTTTTTTATTTCCACGTCCAAAACAAGAAAGAAACAGGTTGATCCAGCATGGCTCTTATGTACATCCTTATGCCACAGTCGACTTAAGCCTAATTCAAGTCTATTTATGTCAATATTTGAAACACATTGCTGAACCCATACACATTCAAATATGAGTACGAAACTCAAGAGACCAAAGTGGTGACGTCTGACTCCTTAGATGGAATATCCTGGTGTACTCAACAGACAGTGTGAACGAGTGCATACCAATATGACTATCCTATTGCAAGTAAGTCCGGCTATGCAAGCAAAGCTAGCACAGATGCCGTTGATGAGCTGACCTATCATGCTCAGCAATGACCCTAACAGTGCCAGTACTAACGAATAATGATAAAAATAGTACATAATTATAATTGACAAGCTCCAGTGTAGCCACGCCATGAACATATAGTGAAATGCAACAAGTGAGCCAGAAGATAGCCTGAGGACCGAAGTAGCTCAATCGAAGCTGTATTTCCGCGGATAACACGGCCACACTCTGATCAGGGCGGTAAGACAACAACAACAGCGGAACAAACGAGCGGCCTATCAAACACAAGACAGCAACATCGGAGTCACAATAGTAATGACAACAGCGATACTATTGACATAAGTAGTTTTCTCACCCATGTGAAGCCTGTAATACAGCTGAATGTGCTAGTGATGACTGTGTGCTGCTAAGAATAAGACACCTCTGACCACGCCATCGAGTATGGGCTGATGATGGCGCACGAAACTGGTAAGCTACCCGAAAACCATCGCTTCAAAATTGGAACAGTGGTAATTTTTTCTTCAGTCAAGTCAATACACTTACACAGTGTGCATTCTCCTCTATAGACTAAGGCGAAGTGATACAGGAATAACGACACGGAGATCAAATCGTATAACAAAACTGTCTTATTGGTAGACTTCACATAGTAATTGGGATCAGTTGTGCCTCAGTGGATATGACAATCTTCAACAATAGCTAGACCAGCAGAAACCCAGCATTATCGATGAGGTGTGACCAGGAGTTTGGATCTGATGTTCGAAGAAAGGCGAAAACCTTATGAGTAACAGTGAATTCAAAAAGGCTCATGGTTTCAGGAAGTAGTGGCTACGAGGCCTGACAGCAGCTGTCATTATTTAATGTAGCTGCTGTAGCTAATGTAGCTACTGAAGATAATTTGAGTAGCGTGAATCGGATAAAGCGCGAGCGATGGCCGCACCAATCTGCGCGAGGCACGAGACAGAGATGAGCTATATGAGATGAGTTAAACAGTAAAACTATTTGGTAACACTTACAGCACTTGACTAGCGTCGTTTGTGGGAGAGCTTTTGCCTACTCCTCTCGATGGCGTGTTCAATTTGGTACTGAGCAACTATATTCCTACAGATCTTACGTTGAACATGCATTACGTTCTTTGATACCCACATCCCTTGACGTTCTACCGTGTAATATAAAAATGGCTTGTCCTGACGGCTGGTATGTAGTAAGACGACATGTTCCGACCAGCGTAGAATATTTAAAGAAGTCGATCACACTACTAAATTTATCCGGAAGCCTGTATAACAGACCCATCATCCTGGAATTCTTCAGCTTGTACAGACACTCGAGACAGCTCTTGCCTTCATAAGGTAACTCCCTTCTCAAAAGTGATCTAGTATCAAAGGAACTTTCGATTTGGCAAACGAGGACCTGCTGTATCATGAAATGTTTTTATTTTGATGGAGGTCAAAGTACCAGAGGAAGCTCAGCCAATGGACGGTGGACCGCATCAGGGGAGAAGATTCACCCTCGATGGCTATCTACGTTGGTTCAACCTCAAGCGCGTAGTCACACAAGTATTACGTAAATTACAGCGTACGCTGGAACGAACACTGATCAACTGTCTGGTGCAGTCTGTGTGTGGACACCATGCAGTTTCATAAAACATAAACCATATTTATTCCAACGGATATAGGCAAGAAGGAATCCCGATCTGCACTTCGGTACGAATCTAGTTCAAGCTATAGCTTAGACTAGGTGTTGCAAAGTTCCAACGCAATTCGTTGTCTATTCGTTCGTTCGTTTACGACTGTTGGGCAAGCTATGTCGGTCAGATGACACGGTGCTTGTCTCAGACAACCAAGGAGCACTTTTCGAATCGCCTAAAAAAGGCACGCGGTATCGACAGTCAGCGGATCGATGCAAACAACCAGAACAATCTTTTCCAGTCATTCATTATAATCTGTCGGGTACCGGGAAGTCGAAGACTGTTTGCCAACGAATCCTCGAGAAATTTGGAACGATCGTCATTTGAATAAGGGTCCGCTAGCTAACAAAACACGTGAAAACTCTGACATTGCCCTGGCCAACTAACCAAGCTTCGGACGACATAAGATGATCGTCCGCAAACTTCAGGATTTTTATCATTCTTCAGATGCACGTAGCAGATTGTCGATGCGCCAAAATACTTCGGTCGGTAGTACACCAGAGATGTCGTCCACATTTGGCCTTGGACCCAAGTATACGAGTTGATTCATGTTAAATGACCAATTCAAAGCAATAACTGCAAATCGCCAAACAATAAAAGTCCTGACTCGTACTTCATTCCAGCTGCACCCTGAAAAATAACCCAACTTGACAGGATAGTTCTCACTTACCAATTCGACTGTTACCGTTGACACAGTCCACTGACCAGAACAGAGAACACATAAATGCACATTTATAGTCTCTCCCTAGTTCGCGTCTACCTTAAATTTAAAACGATAGCCAAACACTCATGACACTTTTTGCTTATGTGTAACCAAGTGGTTACGGCAATGAAGCAGTTCACCGAGCTTTGACGTCAAAACATAGCTAGTAATTTGTGAATTTGTGATTTACGGACCAGTTACTTCTATAAAAAGCTTGCTACAATGTTGAACCGCCATGACGAACGCGTTTTTTGAGTATTTATTGTAGTCTATCGGGTAAAAATAATGATGGTCGTCCAGCTGCAACATCCTTTCAGTGCAAAGCTGCAATCCAATACTGTCAGGTTGCCCAATCCCAGACAGGGGCAGTTAAGATGCAAAGGTTAGGTCTGAAGCAGAGACCTTCGGGTCAGTAAGTTCGCGCTTAACCGACGAGCCATCTCGAGTTCTGTCGGGTAACCAACTAACTCTTGAGCATGACGGCTTGGTAACATTAGGAGCACAAAATCCTACAAATCAATGCCTGTGGATGACAGTTGACAAGGCTGGAATTTCACATACCTCGAAGATGAAAATATGAATACAGTAGACTTGAGTTTTCAACAACCCGGGAAAAAGCATTACACCGATATTCTTCGTCTGTGTTTAACAACAGGCCACATCTGAATGATAAAATCAGCCTAGGTTATCAATGCTGAGTATCCTAGCTTTGGAAATACATTGAAAGCTCAAACTTCGCATAGCCCCATTTGGTGCAACTGAATGGGCTTTTTCAAAGGACGCACTAACCACTTGAAGTGCAAAGAGTGAGCCCTCGCCGAGAAAAATGTTCACCATACGGCATGTATGGCGAGTCAAGAAAGGGGAGAACCTCTGGTAGGTAAAGTGCCATGTCCCTGCGCTGAATAAGGCTTTTTGCCGCCAGCTAACACGGAAACTCGCTAGCAGCAGTTATTTACATGCGATAGTGAGCAAATCCAGCAAACTGTCTCGACAGGCCGGCTGAAATAGAAGAGACCCGGGGTACGTAGGTCAACAGTAACGTCAAACAGTGAGGATGAATACTGCGTATTTCTGGTTGCTACCGACTTTCTGACCGATCGGATAGTGTCTCCGGTAAAAAATTTTCTACTTCACCCCACTGTCTTGTAGGTTGTACTTGAATACGGAAAGATTAAGAGCGCATATTTCAAGGAATCAAAGTGTTGGGTGATGAACCCACAAAAAAAACAGGGAAACGATCCACGAGCCAGCTTATTTTACTGCGTAAACACGGCTCCATGAAGCAAAAGCCTCCCACTAGAAGTAATCACTCATGTGGCTACCAAAAATATCACTTTCACGGTGGCAATTACAGGTATCTCACGAATCTGACGAGTGTCTGCCGCGTTGAAGGGATAGAATGATAAAGTCACTGTCCGAACAGTCTAAAGGACGATAACGTTCCCTCCACTATCAAGAATCTTATAAATTACAGTATGAGGGAATGTGACAAAACGCTTTAGTGACAAGGAACACAAAAGCCAAGTCCACTCATCAGTAAACAGTAATAAAAACGGAGGCAACTATTCAGATAACTGAGACGTCAAAGCATTTCAACAAAGGCCGGTTTACCGACTTCAACGCTTCGAACCAAACCAAATAATCTCGAAGCGATAGAGAGAAGTGTATTTCTTAATTCGGGTGAGTAGATTCCAAAGAGACAAGGAAAATCTGAGAGGGCGAAGAGGCGAACTGAGTTCAAAAAATGCTGCGGAAATAGGCGTACTTGGTCAGAAGTGTATAGACTTTCGACCGGAATGCCGCTGAAGTAAAAAGGTGCGAAAGATCTGGATGGAAGATGTGCATAGCTCTATCTGTCCAGCATAGCCAACTGTTGACACCAAGAGAGTAATAGGAAATCTCGAGCAAGTTGGTTAGGACTAAGGAAGCGAGACTCAACTAATGTTTCATCAAAGTAATTGTTTGAGGAGCGGTTTGATAATGTGCAGTTGCACAGAGAGGTTAGAGTCTGCAACAGTATTTGTTCGTCTTCCAAGGAATTGCTTACAGGCAACGGGGTACCTGTCTGGTCGGACAGCAACGATATCATCTGTGTCAGGCAAACGCGTTTGAGCACATCCCGAACCTTCAACCCACACATGCTTGAACGCGACGAAACAGTGATGGGTTCCGGATCAATCCTGGGAGGTATGTCGTTTTCAAGCTTCTTTTCACAGCAATCCATTACAGCGGAACCAAGGGGAGTTATTTGATCAGGAACGTTGGTATTCTGTCGGGAATGAGGCAAAAGATTTTTTGTTGGGCTACGTTCCGCAAAAAAAGGCGGTTCGAGACCCAAAGTGTCCACCAAATTAGTACGACCTTTTAAAGGATATCGCGTGGGCGAATGTCGATTATTTGAACTACTAACGCTGTCTTCACCAAAACTCGAGGCTGGTGACATCGCTACGGAGGTGGTCAAAGCTTTTTGATGTCGCTTTCCAGACTCATGTTGGCGTAAGGAAATTAGCGAATTTAGTCGCTTTTTGCAAATCTCGCAGAAATAGTAACCTATTCTGTCTACCTCAATCACATCTGAGCGTTGATTGGATGAACTACGTTCAGCTGTCATTGTATGATCGTTCTCCGATTGTGGCCCAGGTTGGTTATCCTGTTCGGCAATAAAAGGAGCAAGAAAAGTCTGTGGACCCGGCACCAAAGTAGGTTGTGTGATGCGAGCTGATAGATCCATCGGATGTTTGTCATTAAAATCCACTGAACCATCAACTGATTGTGGTAACTGGGAACTGGTCATTGCAGAAAAGCTGAAACAGAGAATGAACAATTTGCACGTGGTAAATACACTTTATCTCTTCGTGGGGTTAAACACTTTTCCACAATCGGACCTCTCGAAATAGATGGTACGTGAATACAAACCCGCTTCAGTAAAACATGAGAAGCCAACCGAGAGGCACACGCCGTTTTTACAGAATAACACATCGGACTGGACAGGCTCAGGAAAGAGCGATAGAAATGCCGACCATATACCGAGAAACTTCGTTCTAACAGAGAAAGCAGCGAACAATTATGCGGTTATTAAAGCCAATTCTCTGAGGATCTAGAAGGAGGAAGCGGGCCTTTTGGGACTATTTGTCACACTTCCTGTGGTAAGCAATGAGAGTTTAAGCTTGCTAGTCGGCGTACAATGACGAGCCAGAAAAAGAACATCGTGTGATTGAGTGGTACCGTCAATGTAACGAAAATTTAGCTCATTGAATGCACAAGATAAGGGCACCACGGTTGTAACGACAATTTTTTCACAGCTGCCACGGAAGCTCAGTGGCCAGGTGGCGCCAGTACGAGACACTACTAAAATAATAAGATGAATAACCAAAACCGAATCCGCCGTTTTCTTGTCGATTAGTTTACCGTGAACTGTCATCACATACATACGGGGATGATAGTGAGATTTGTAACTTATATTGCTCGTTTGCACTTCCAAACAAACAAAGATGGTACGGCGTACTGAAACGTGTTGTATGGTGTTCGTGAGCATAGAAGTTATTTTAAGTTGATTGTCATAAAAGGGATCTGGTCCATTAAATACACTTCCTCTTGTGAAACCTGATTCGCAGAATGTGTATGTATCAGCCAGGCAGCCAAGATCTGTGTCGGAACCACGGGCTCTACGTAAGCACCTCCAAATTCCAGGAGTTCGACCTGCTCATGTTGCTAAAAATTTCTACTGAACTTCCCTCCTGATACGAGCACATCCACTAGCATGCTAGTGCCCATAACCCTGAGCAATAGCGCAAAAACTGTGTTCTTTTTAGAACAAATCCATTAATTATCCATTGAATCATTCAAGATATTCTCATACAAGGGATCCTTGTTTCTTACACTGCAACAAACTTTCCAGAGGATCAAGTCTAGCGGACGTGTTGCGTCGTCGCTGAATAAAGCTGTGCAACAGAGCACTTGGAGCTAGCATGTTGACAAACACATCAGATACTCCTCACTAGATCTGGTTGTCACCAATGAAAGGCACTTCGTTGAGCAAGTGATAAGTGAGGCTCCCTTGGAACATAGTGACCAATGTGTGTCGACTTTTGAATTCATCCGATGCTACTGTGTTACGAATCCTGAGGCTCAAACGTGGATTTGGGACTTCTACTGCACAGACTTCTCAGGAATGCGTATCTTCATTGACCAGCTTTAGTAAAGAGGATATAAAGGACCATTATCCAGAAAGTTCACGAAGCTAATGTGACGTTCATTCCAAAGAGGCTAGCACACAGTCAAACGAACCAGAAACTACCCAAGGGGATTCAGCACCTTCTGTGAATAAGGTCCAAACTATTCTACAGGAGATTCAGAAGACAAGCGAGCATCCGTAAAATGCGGAACCGCTGCAAATCCGAAATCCGCGAATCGAACATGCAACAACAAGCCACGATACTATTTCTCGGCCTCAAAAAGTGAAAATTCACCATTTGAGTACACGAAACACCACAAAAAGAACAATCCAAAGCCTCCTTCTTGAGGGACAGAAAAGAGGACCCAACGAGTGACTAAATAGTGATATCTGGAAACTACAGAGATCACTATGCAGCCTGGTATTCTGCAACCCCCCCCCCCCGAGCTGCCACGGAAGCTCAGTGGCCAGGTGGCGCCAGTACGAGACACTACTAAAATAATAAGATGAATAACCAAAACCGAATCCGCCGTTTTCTTGTCGATTAGTTTACCGTGAACTGTCATCACATACATACGGGGATGATAGTGAGATTTGTAACTTATATTGCTCGTTTGCACTTCCAAACAAACAAAGATGGTACGGCGTACTGAAACGTGTTGTATGGTGTTCGTGAGCATAGAAGTTATTTTAAGTTGATTGTCATAAAAGGGATCTGGTCCATTAAATACACTTCCTCTTGTGAAACCTGATTCGCAGAATGTGTATGTATCAGCCAGGCAGCCAAGATCTGTGTCGGAACCACGGGCTCTACGTAAGCACCTCCAAATTCCAGGAGTTCGACCTGCTCATGTTGCTAAAAATTTCTACTGAACTTCCCTCCTGATACGAGCACATCCACTAGCATGCTAGTGCCCATAACCCTGAGCAATAGCGCAAAAACTGTGTTCTTTTTAGAACAAATCCATTAATTATCCATTGAATCATTCAAGATATTCTCATACAAGGGATCCTTGTTTCTTACACTGCAACAAACTTTCCAGAGGATCAAGTCTAGCGGACGTGTTGCGTCGTCGCTGAATAAAGCTGTGCAACAGAGCACTTGGAGCTAGCATGTTGACAAACACATCAGATACTCCTCACTAGATCTGGTTGTCACCAATGAAAGGCACTTCGTTGAGCAAGTGATAAGTGAGGCTCCCTTGGAACATAGTGACCAATGTGTGTCGACTTTTGAATTCATCCGATGCTACTGTGTTACGAATCCTGAGGCTCAAACGTGGATTTGGGACTTCTACTGCACAGACTTCTCAGGAATGCGTATCTTCATTGACCAGCTTTAGTAAAGAGGATATAAAGGACCATTATCCAGAAAGTTCACGAAGCTAATGTGACGTTCATTCCAAAGAGGCTAGCACACAGTCAAACGAACCAGAAACTACCCAAGGGGATTCAGCACCTTCTGTGAATAAGGTCCAAACTATTCTACAGGAGATTCAGAAGACAAGCGAGCATCCGTAAAATGCGGAACCGCTGCAAATCCGAAATCCGCGAATCGAACATGCAACAACAAGCCACGATACTATTTCTCGGCCTCAAAAAGTGAAAATTCACCATTTGAGTACACGAAACACCACAAAAAGAACAATCCAAAGCCTCCTTCTTGAGGGACAGAAAAGAGGACCCAACGAGTGACTAAATAGTGATATCTGGAAACTACAGAGATCACTATGCAGCCTGGTATTCTGCAACCCCCCCCCGACATCATCACTTTCAAATCTGGTAAGGAATTACGAAAAAACCATAACCAGTTTGATTTACGTGTAGGTGTTCATTCACTCTTGCACAAGACAAACCTCTTCAGCACGTTGGGGCCAGATGAAGTCCATCCACGGACCTTGGTAGAAACATCGCTCAGTGTGGCAAAACATTTCAACTTGATGCTTCCTCAGTCGATGGACGAATGCAACCCTAATTCTGTTTGGAAGCGATTCTCACACCACATTACAGCTTATCGCCCGGTAGCTACAGGCCAATTGACCCCACTAACATACCATGCGAGATGCTGGAACTCATTCTGAATCACTATTCTAAATCATCTCACGACGAATAACTCTATATCCCCGACGCAAAGCTGAATCCTCCAAAACTGCTCTTGAATGGAGAACATGCTCGCATTTGTGGACAGCTTGACACAAACCAAAGAAGAAGCACTCATATCGGACGCCATATTTTTCGACTTCTCAAAAGTATTCATTAGATTTTCAATAGTTCCACTTCTCCACAAACTTGAGCCACAAGGGATCCAAGAGATTGTACGCTGGGTGGAGTTTTCCATTTCAAGCAGAACGTCCCGAGTGAAAGTCAGATCAACCTACTCTTCTGAACCGGTCTCCACTGGAGTTCCCCGAGGTTGCGTTGTAGGACAACTCGTCTTTTTGATCTACGCCAACGACCTTCCTCATGCGCTTTCAAACCCGCGTCTACTTTTGCGGACATGAAATCCTGGATTTTCAACACCAGAGCACTCCAAATAGAAATTGACGCCGCAAAGAACAGCTCAGTGAAAGTGGAGCCTTTCTCCGAAAGACGGGAAGTACGTCCACATGTCGTCCGGATGAGACTCAGTATGACATGCTGCTGTACCAGACGGGGCATCCAAGAGATTAAACCCCACCCACAATAGTTTACCCAGTTTATGTCTAAGTCAGCAGGCCTGTCGTGCTCTTCAACCTGGGTAATCAAATGGCTAGATGTCACATAGCCCTTCGTTTTTTTGTATGTACAGAAGACCTACAATCCTGATGTTCCTTGACTCCAAAGGTGCGTTCGACCCTGTCGATCACCCAATGCTCTTAACTACACTCGTTGGTGAGAAACTTATCGACCTGGAGTATCTGGAGACCAAGGCAAAGCACAAACCATGATGCATAGACCAACCACCGTCATACCACATTTCGGCATGCGCCTTCAAATTGCAAAGTTATGTTTCAAGATATACAATCTCTGGACACACCCCTCACAACTCAGGGAGAGCCGTTGGAGCTTGTGGTGGATTTTACATGCCTCGGTAGTTGCACTAACTCTGACAGAAGTGTCTGATGAGGTCAGCGCACGAACATCAAGGGCCAGAATCACGTTTGCCAATTCGCGTCACTCGTGGCGGCAAAAAAGCGTATCACCGGGTCTCAAGAGTCGCATGTAGAAGGTGACAGTAAGGGTTGTATTGTATTGGCTGAGACGTGGCCACTGCGGATAGATGATGTGAGGCGTTTTCAGGTTTTCTACCTTTGATGCATCAAAGGTGTTCCTGGTAGCGAATTTGTAACCAAACTGTCCGTAAAAATCGTTCGGTTGTTCATTGCTTAGCTGCCATGCCACCTGAAGAAAGCACGAGGGCTGGGATACTGCCAGGTTGTCCAAGCCTAGACAATGGAAGTCGAGAGGCAGAGGTCGGGTTCAAACCACGTAACTTCCGATTAGTAAATTCGCGCTCCAACCACCGAGTGTTTGTTTGTGCAGCAGGTAATTCATTTGCGGAAAATACCCAGCACTATTGACTGCGGTGGCTCGGCCATGTGCTATGCATGGCGAAACACCATTTACCGAGACGAGTGTTG